CTTTTCAAATCTTCTTGAGCTGCAAGGTGTCCTTCCATTTATTCAAATGCAAGGTACTTACTACCCTGATTTAGTTAGGGTATTCTATTCACGTTTTAAATATAGAGATCATGTAGCCACTTCTAGAGTCAAGGGTGTGACTATCATCCTTGATGATGATATCTGGGGAAATTTTGCCCACTTTTTTGTAAGGGAGGATGTTATCAATGTTCTTGCAGAGTTAGAAGATTTTGATGGAATTATGGCTTACCGCTCGCTCATTTCTCCGCAACCCCTCCATGGAAATTGGCCGACTTCTATTGGCCGGACCATTAAAGAAGGAAGAACGCATGTTGCTGCATCTCATTGTATGGATTCTGTGTCCTCGAGCAACAAATCATGCACAATGTTCATCTATTGATCTTCACATTATTCATGCCATCATGAATAATGAGCCAATTGATTGGGGTAGTCTTGTCACTATGACCATGCTTAAAGCTAAGCGTCATCCAACCTTTAAAATCCCATATGCTCTTCTTATTTCTCGTATCTTAGAATACAAGTGAGTGAATGTTTAAGGAGAGCAAAGGGTCAGGACGATAAATTCAAATCGAATGCTTGACAGCATGCTCACTCAGTTAAAAATGGTGCATGTAAATGGAATTTACGTTCACAAAGATGATGCTCCCAACATGGCTGAAGATGCTCAAGATTCTGATGAAGAGATGCCTGCTGCTGAGATTCCTGCAGAAAACATTCATACTGCTGGGACATCATCTGCTCATCCTACATCCAGTCCATCTATGGAAGATATGCTCTTTGATATGAATCAAAGAATGCAAGATTTCTTCACTATCTCTCAAGAACGGCATCAGGAAATCATTCGTCATATTTCAGATATAGATTATAGGGTTTGTAACTTAGAAGATAGATTTGATGCCCAATTTAACAGTGATGAAAGTTAAGAGTTTTAATCTCTTCAATATATCTTCTTGCTTGTAATTAATTTGATTTATGGAATAAAAATGGTATTTTTGCTTTGTTTGAGGGGGAGTTTTTTTTCTATATTATGCACTTATTGACGGGGAGCTTTCATTTTTTGATCATAATCAAAATAGGGGGAGAAATTATTTAAAGCCTCTTATGTTTATTAAATTAAAATGTTGTTTGGTATGTTTAATGTTTTTGTTAGCTGTGACAGAAAAAACAGGTTATTACAAAGGGCTTTAAAGGAAATTTTGATCATCATCAAAAAAGGGGGAGATTGTTGAACATACAAGGATATGAATGTTGAACATACAAGGATATGAAGCTTGTAGATTTTGATGATGATTCAAGAATAAAGGACTTAAAGATTTGAAGACTTGTAATGTTATGTAATAACTCTGTTTTTATGTTTTTGAGTCTGTAATATTAGAGTCCAAGATAGTCAGCACATAGACCACTCTTTAAAAGCTCTAAAACTCATTTTTATCAAAAATACACTGGAATAATCGATTAACTGGTAGGATAATCAATTATTACAGAAATAAAACAATTTTCAGTATTTGCTCACTAGAATAATAGATTAAATGGCCTGTTAATTGATTAACTGGGCTGTTAATCGATTAAATGGCCTGTTAATCGATTATCTGGCCCTGCTTTTGCTCCTCTGCGAAAATGGCTCTGGAATAATCGATTAACACTTAAGATAATCGATTATTTGGGTCTGTTATGTGTTTTGAAATTTAAAATTGGACCAAGTTTCGAAAATCCTATTCCCAATTCATCCAATTTCGAAAATCCCCAATTCACAAACCCTATTCTCTCTACTTAAGTGTGGGCTAGAAGCGATAAGAATCACTGAGTGGGTTTCTTGGTGGATTGTGTGTTGTGCCGTCTCTAGGGAAAGTTGTTCTTCATCCTTTGTGGATTCAAAGGAGGTGTCCATCTCTTGTGTGACTCAAGAGAGGTGTTTTCTTTACCTTATCTTTTCATTTGTAATCTGTTTGTAAAACTGTGATTATAGTGACAACATTAATCCTCTGTTTGAGTGATTAGCAACTGGACGTAGGGTCTTTAGATCTAAACCAGTATAAATCGACTGTGTAATCTTCTATCCCTTCTCTATTTACTTTACACAACATTTTAAAACCCTAATTTTTGTTTAAGAAACCAATTCACCCCCCCCTCTTGGTTTTTGTCCGTAAACGCAAACATTCTGCTGTGCGATTCTAACAGTCCTTACAATAGTTTCATGAGAAGCTTGAATCTCTTGGTTGTTCCCAACAACAAAGTCAAGGAACACCTTATATAGTTCAAGATGATGTTATTCGAGTGAGCACTAAAGGGAGTTGTGTTACTATTGCATATCCCTCTGGGGAATATACTCACACTAATGTACCAAACCAATGTGAGTTATATGTTGAAGATGACCCCGTGTCTAGTGGCACTTGGTCGGGTTTCTGAGGGTGACTCAACCATCCATGGTGTCCCTCTACAACCAGACTAGATGTGGGTAGTTTTTGATAAAGTTGTTGATGTTGTCGTTCTAGTGCCTCTATCAAATATAGAAGTTCAACTAGTAGGCTAGCAAGTGGCACATTCTTGGTTTGACCAAGATGTTTCATGATGTTGTTGTTCATTTGGCAAGTGTACCAATATTATCAATCGCAGTATAGTATTTCAATTAAATAAAAGTCGATCCCACGAGGAACGATTTCACTGGAAATTCCAAGTCACATGCTTATTAAGTATATTGACACAAAATTGGTTTTCATAAATATGTGGATTGAAAATAAATGGCACAGAACTGTTAAGTATTTTTAGAAAAGATGAAATATAAGAACTTAGGATTGGCTTAATTTTGTTTCCCTCCTTTATGTAATGGCTAGGTCAAACTAATAACATCAATTAACCTATCAATGTTGATGCCTCCTACTTAAATCATTCACATTGATTCATCAAACAATAAATTCATAAGAAAACCTTGTAAACATAGATTCCTCATACATTTAATAGATTTTCCAGCATTAGGTTTAGGGTGTTAAGTACTTAATACATCCATTACCATTCCTAACAATCAATGTAGCAAATATTCTTAACATAACCAAGGGTTTCAAGATATATTTTCCAATATATATGAACATTAAGGATAAAAGCATTAAAAGGCACAAAGGATAAGAATAACAACATCAAGAACATAGATTAATATCTCAAAATATCACCAAGATACAAAAGAGTTCAAAGAAAGTGCACACAATCCTAAGAGAATGAAGTTAGCCACTCATGATGGGCATTACAATGATCCAAATGAAGAAGAATTGAAGATTGGACGAAAATTGGAGCAGTTGTCGTGCCTCTCTTCTCAAAACCTAAAATTAATTCTCAAAACGCATCTTATCTTTTTATAGAAAAATTTGGGTCACGCGTCATTCGCTCAAGCGGAACATTCGCTCAAGCGAAAAATGATGATTTTTGCTCAAGCAAGAAATGTTCGCTTGAGCGGTTGAATTCCCGAGAGCTTTAACTCATTTTCGTTCAAGTGAATAAATGTTCGCTTGAGCGAGTGACTTCCAGAGAGCTTTAACGTATTTTCGCTCAAGCGAATAAATGTTCGCTTGAGCGAGTGACTTACAGAGAGCTTTAACATATTTTCGCTCAAGCAAGCATTTGTCTCGCTTGGGCGAATCTCAGGTAATATCTTCTTCTTTCTTTCAATTTTTCTTCAATTATCTTGAGAATTATGATCATTGCTCTTGTAACAAGGTATTCTGCAAATTTATCCTACATTGAGAGAAAAATAAATTAGAATCAACATAATTTAAGTGGTTAAATAACAATTAAAAGCATAATTACATCAGCTTTTACCACTTAACAGATGTCACTCTTAACACAGGCAAAAGTAACATATTTTGTGTTCCTTCTCTTTCATTTGTATTCTTATAATTCTTTATAATTCTATAAATGTTTAACTAATTGTTATTATTTGTTTAGGATTTTAAGCAGGTTATGAGAGAACATGTTATTAATGAGAATGTGGAAAAAGTTAAGGATGATATGATATTTATGCGGCTGACCATATTATCATGATTGAGGAAGAAACTGGCTCAAATACAATGGGATAGAAGAGTTTTGGAATTGATAATTCTATCATTCTATTGTACGTTTCTCTCCAAAATAAAAATAAATCAAAATAAAATAAAATATATATTAAAATAAATGAAATCTATGAAAAATATCTTGATAATTATATAAATTTATGGATGAATTAAAAGAATTAAGTGAAAAAATTGAATTAAATAATTCTCAAATTCATTCTAGAAAAATTAAATATTTAATTATTTTTACTAATAGAAATAATTTTTTTAAAAATATAAAACTTAAACAAAAATGAATTAAATTTAAGACGTTATAATTTCAAATAATAATCATAAATAATAAATAATGTAATTTATGTTATGAAGATTATATACCTGATATATATATATATATTATTATATGTAAAAGTTTGTTATCATCAATCATAGTTTCAAGAGCAGAATTACTAGTATCTGAAAAATAAATGCAATACACAACTACAGTCCACATATATTTGTTTCTCTTATCCTTGCATTATCTTCTTACATTTGGGAACGTGCCATCATGCTTACTTTTTCCTTTTCCCGATTTGTACAGAAGTTGCATGGTTCACCAAATAAATTACCTGTGAAGAGTTTTGTGAATATTTTATACATCAACAAATAGGAGTGAAGAACTGTTAGCAAATGGAGAATTAATGGAAAACCCTGTACCAGTATAGCAATATAATTTGATCTTGAATAATTTGTCTGCATGATGAGATTGCACGATACGACGTGTCGTTACTGCACTTCCCTTTTCATTCCATTTATTCCTGGGAAAGATTATGACTCAAGATGAACATTGCCAATGTCGTTACTAATGATCTTTCCTTTCCACACATTCCTGGGAAAGATTATGACTCTAGAGAAACATTTTCTATGCAACGGAACTGTGAATAATAGACGTGGGAACACGTAATCTTAATCATTAATTTGTTTGGAACAGTTGTGATATTCCTCCTTTTTTGCCAACACACTGTTAATTACTTACTATACAAACATGTGATGTGAAAGTGCGATACTAGTGTAGAACAGAACCATCCATTAATGAATAATTGGTTGCCTGTAATTGATGTGATCACCATGGTTAAATCTGTGTGTCTGTGTGTCGTACCTTTTAGTATTTTTTATTTTTTTTTGTTATTCCATATTTAAGTAATAATAAAAACATTAAGGAGGATATGAATCGATTGGTAGTTTAATCAATATTGAAGCCACTTTCTGACTATGTATCATAAGGGAAAATTTACCATTTAGATAATTCCATCAACTATATATGATTATCCTTCACGTAAAAGATTATACTAAGATAATAATAAAAAAAACTCATTTTAATTATATATATATATATATATATATATATATACTGAAAGTTTACACTAAAATCATAGTAAATTTAAAAAACTACTAAATATCATTTGATAATATAAAAATGGATAAGTATTAATTTAATTCTACAAAACCAATTTATAAAAAAAGATTTGTATCTCACCTATATATTTTTATAATATCTCATATACATATAATATCTTAACATCAGATATATACTAATACTATATTAGAATATTAGAAATGAAGAGATATATAATTCAATTCTACAAAATTAACTTAAAAAATAAAATTATATCACATTTATATACTATAATATTATTATACATTTAATTGATATAAGATTTTTAAATACAGATTTCATCATAACCACACATAACACTGAAAGGGATTTCCATAGGGATTTCATCAGGTAGAGTTATTTAAGTTTAATTCATGGTCTTAAGTTATTTAAGTTTAATTCAAAGATATTTTTGTCACCCATAATGATTTTACATGAATCAGCAGTCTTCAGTAAAATAAAAGCAAAGGTGATAAAAAAAACAAAAACAAAAACAAATTTACAAAGAGAAAAAAGGCACTTTATATTTTTCTTATAAATCCAATCCTTGGTGTCTGATATTTAATTCAAACAATTTTCCTCTAGTTGGCCCATGCGAAAAAACATAAAAAAAGTAATATTTTGTTTAGTGGGAGTGGACTCGTGTTCCAAATTCGATGCTTGGAGGAATACGCAAGTTCTAAATCGGTGTGCGATCCAATGTGAAAGATAAAAATGAGTGTATGTGCTTTATGAATGATTAAATAAAATGGCCCTAATGATTAGAAGACATATAAACTTGGACTGTGCAATCTTGCTTTCGGAAAGATAATTGATCAGAAATAATTTAATAAAGGTCACTCATTCTTATAGCTAACCTAAGAGGCACCAATCTCTTGAAGGTTTCTGAGAGCTAGCAAGAAGGGGTTGTGGCAATTTACAGAAGATTCTGATTCTGCTTTATAGCAGAATCATTTGCATCACACTCACTATTATGCCACCAATACCAGCCACCCCGTCCAATACAACTTAAAATATGAGGGAATTGAATCATAAAATTCTCAAACACCAAGAGGGTCTTTCTCATTGCTGAATAATATACATTATTTTCATCATATTATTGTCAATATCACTATCTGCTACAAAATTGAAGTAGTTGAAAAGAAAACTTAAAGATGGCTATATTATTTCTACAAAAGTCCTCCCTGTATAAGATTCTGGTGATGTTAAAAAATCAGTGTACCCACATGTCAAGAGGCAATTATATTCAAATTGAGAACATCTACACTATGATAGGATGATTGAGACATTGCTAAAATAATGTACTAATCACCCATTAATCCTTTCACCGAATAATTGATGATTATCTATTATCATGATCCCTGAATATTTTCTGAACAATTTGGAGAAAAAGAGTAAATACATCCCTGGTCCAAACATTGCCTCCTTCAAATTGTGGGGTTTGGGAAGGAAAGTCATCGTGGGTGGGGCAGTGGGCCAAGCAAAAAATGCAAGTCCGTGATAGAAAAGGATGAGGACGTGCAGATGCAGAATAAGAAGATTTTGAGCAATAGTATAACGTCCAAATGCAAAACTGTGGCAATGGAATCTAAATGGTGCCAACTGTATACGACTCTAATTATTGTAGTCAATGGAAGCAAGCACACAAATCACGCTGAGGAAAAAAAGCTGTTTCCACGACTAGAACCATAGAACAGGAAAATGATCGAAGCATTTACAAGATTTAATAAGAAATCGCTGAAAGTAATTATTAATAATTACGTGACCAGCATTAAGAGGGGCACCAAGAAAAGTAGAAGAAAGAATACTTGCTTTTGTTTTAGAACCACTTGGTGGAGCTCTAGATCTCCCAATTTTACATCTCCCAGATTATGAGAATGCATTTTGGAATCAAACTAATAAAATGATTGGCAGGATGTTTTTATTCGATCAAGTGGGTGGAGTCATCTGCACATCATTTTCCTTCCAAGAATTAAAAATTTTCAGCATCTGAATTGTTTACTCTCTTGTGCGTTTTTCAGTTGTGTCTTCAAAGTTCATCATATTATATTGCTGTCAGGTAACTAATGCCGGATAATTCCACCGGATATGAATAGAATCGACGAGTTGAAAACTACAAATAGAATGATATTCCCAATTTATAATGTAACGTGTCATTCCCATTTCATGGTTTGATAACTTCTGGGATCAAATTATTTCTAAGCCCTTCAATGGAATTATGCAGAATAGAATCAGATGTGATTTTTTGAAAACTGCACATGCTATTACCGCGTCAAATTACTTTGAGGCATGGTCAAACATATATTGAAAAAGTTTGACTTATTAGATGAAGTACAACTTGTGCAGTTTTAGAGAATTATAGATAAAGTTAACCCAAAGGGTTTTAATACCCCTCGTAAGAAGATAAATAAAATTGACTTTTCTCATTAAAATATTTGCATTCTATTCTTTTTATAAATTTATGATGAATGTTGGCTACATTAGCAAACGTGTGAGAAGTTTTAGAAAAAATACTCAATATTTTACGATACTTGATTAATAATTTTTGTTTCACAATATTATTATGCTTTCATTTTCCTTTCACAGATTATAAGACATGAAAGTTAAAAAGAAAATTAAAATTAAATTTAAGAGACTAAATTTAAAGAAAGCAATTTGTTACGCTAGAAATAAACAACATATTCAGAAAAAGAAATTAAATCTCACCACATGAAGCACGAAATTATTCACTACATTGAAATCACCATTTCAAATATCAAACAGGAATATATCTAACAGTTAATCAGGTGTAATTTTTTGTGTTTGATGGATGAACTATTCCAGTGTAAATAGTTGGAAACTATGTTTCGATTTAGACAGAAAAATTTGGTTTATAGTTCTGAAAGAAATTACAAGATTGGTCAAATTTGGTTAGAAGCAATCATTAACCAAAAAATGAGGGGACGCATGGAAAATAATATACGGGCACAGAAGCTTAATTGAGCCCAAAGAAAGTGACACATAAAAGGTGATATTTGATGTTTTATCCAATTTTTATTTTTATTTTTACCTCTATAGAGGTAAAATCAATAGCAACAAAAATGACAAGAACACCTCAACGAAATCAGGAAGAAACACACGGTTTGTGGAATTGTTTTTCACGGGTACTTTCGGTGCCTCTGCAGCATTTATTCATTGAATATCTAAATGGAAAAGTTAAGTCTGTTGTATTTACAACCTTGACTGTTAATGGTATACCTGCTTAACTTCTAAAGACAAATAAAAACGAATTTATGAAATTTGCATGAAGCTGGAAGGCAACTCGTGTTTCCCAGGTAAAAAGGACCTATTGTTTTTATTTATATCAGGAACAATGTGTTGCTTTAACGGTTCAAAGGTAGCTTCTTCAAAACAAAATTCCTATGAACATCTAAGTATTTAGATTTCTCAGCAGTCCTCAGTCATACAGGTGGCACATGAAATTTTTACAAAAAACACTGTTTTGAGGCCTCAAATTTCACTTGTCTTTCAAACTCGCTAGGACAAAACACAATACAGACAAAGGATAGGTAACCAATGCCAAATGTATAACAAGAGTATCATTATGCAGTAAACTCAGGATGAAATTGATGATCAAATTTAACGAACTAAATCCAAGATGAAATGTGTGGTATTGAAATCCCTTTTTCAATTTGGTGCTAAGTCCATGTCTATGAGTCCATAGACTTAGTTTTTTATTGCTGAATTTGGTGACCATTTGGGCATGGTTTCATCGACATGCCAATAATATTTATTTAATATAGATAGGGACTTTATAAGAATTTCCATGAGTGGTACTCAAGCTCGTAACATACAGGTGAAAATGCAAATAAATACACCTCAGGTTTGCATCATGTGCGTGAAACGACAACCTCTTTGTCTTCAAAACAGTTTGTATCTTGATTCTTAACCTTTTGGTTCTCCCATAGGTTTTCTCATATTAATCTAACTCCCAATATTAGGAGTTTTCACACATCACAGGGATAAAATACAGGATTCCCTCCTAAATAGATTGTCCTCACAACGTGTTGTGGTACTTCACTTTCAAACTACTACACAAAAGAACATATTTAAATATTGTGTTGAATGAACAACTTTATTTTATTTATACTCACACAAGGGTACAACAAATTCAATCACAAACACAGGAATAAATTAAACCCCTAATTATAGTGTAACAACATCCCTTATTTCTAGGGATAACTATTTTCATATTTAACATGTATTAATTTCAACACTCCCCTCGTGTTGAGTATAATGTCATAGTCAAGCTTGCTAAAATGTAGTCAACACTAGAGCTTTGAAGGACTTAATGAAAATGTTGGTCAACTGTCACTAAATTTGACAGAGTCAGTTGTGAATCCTCATTTTCTCTTAGAAAGTGACAATCTAGCTTTGTGTTTGGCCCAAGGTTGGATTTGATACGGTGCGAAGGACATCTTGATTGTCATATAAGTTTCATATATTGAATGTCTCCAAATTTAGCCACGTTCTTGCATGCAACCGATACATTGAACAATTTTCAACCTCAATACTGGGTATAGCCATTATGTTCTGCTTCTTGCTCCTCAATGAAATCAAATTTCCTCCAATAAGACCACGATACCCAGAGTTGGGTCTCTTACTCATGATAATCCTGCCCAATCATATTAATGTAACAAGTTATTTGGCATTTCCTTTGTTTTTACATACAGTAATCATTATTTATGTACCAAACAATATGTACGACAACAACTAAGAGACATTCACAAGTGGAATTCAGAAATTGAACTTACTACACTAACTATAAAGGTGATGCCAGGTATGGTGACAATGAGATGGTCCCTTGACGACCTAGAAGCTTGACATTGAGGCCCGTAAGAGTATAACTGAGATGATAACCTAGCATATCAGTCTCAGAATATCCAAAGCATATTTTATTGGGTAATTCAATATAAGAAAAGGATTGGGACATTTCTATCCCTAACAAGTATTTGAGGGTTCCAAGTCTTGTCTGAAACTAATAAGAGAGACGCGATTTTAGTTACTAGATATGTCATCACGAGTGATGATGATGTTATCAACATAGGATGACAAAATAAACACATCATCCATATGAGAGAATAATGAATGGAGAAAATAGGGTGACCAACTTTACACCGAGTCATGGTGAAATTTATCAAGGAGGAGCTAAAACAGCCAAAATAGGCGTGATGAGACCACTTCAAACCATTGGTGACAAAGCCAACATACAAGACAAGAGTCACCATAAACACTAATATTTGGAGACTAATACAAATAAACTTCATGCAACTTACCAGGTAACAAAGCATAGTTAATATCCATTTAGTGTAGAGGTCAATGATGTATGGCAGTCATGGCAAAAAAGAGAAACAAAAGTAATTTTGGTCATGCAAGAAAAAGGTTTTCACAAAATGGAGACCAACATTTGCATATAACCCTTAGTCATCTAGTGAGTTTTAAAACTACCAACATGATCATTTGCTCCAACCTTTACTGTATGAACCCAACCACAACCAATACTAGTCTTGTCAGAAGGTAACGGAACAATTTTCCAAGTGCCATTGGAGTGTAAAGCTCTCATTCCATCCAACGTTGTGTGGCACCACTTGGGTTTAGTTGTGGCATCATATGTAAACTTAAGAATGAACACAAAAATCCAAAGAAGAGATAAAGGAGAAATATGGAGAGAATAACTTAAAATTAAAAATAAATGTATTCAAAGGATTAGGATTGTGAGAGGACCAAGTTCAAGTGTTCAATTGACATAGCTAGAAAGGAAATTGGAGAGGAGATGACGCTACAACATCAATGAATGGAATTGTAATTGGAATTTGTTTTCGTTGCTGGTAGTGATTGTCACATCAAGTACAGTGAAGGAGAAGAGGCAGGTAAAACAAAAAAATAGTAAGTCCGTAGAGACAAGATATTGTTCAAGTTGAGGAAAAACAAAACAATGATAACCCAAAAAAATTGCATTTGAGAGATTTGGTAGAAAGTTTAACTTTTACCTGGTTTAATGTCATGACCGAAACATGTGAAACTAAAGATAAGGAACAAGGTAAAATGTCTATTGGGAATACAAGATAGAGTAGGGAACCTGATTGTCAACCACAAACAAAGAAATGCGATTGACAACATGACCTGTTGTGAGAAATGCATCATTGCAAAGGTGAAGCGGAACATCATGGTGAATTAAGGTACAAGGAATTTCAACCCAGCTTTTGGCAACACCATTTTGTTTTGATGTGAATATTGCATCAAGTACAAAAAGGAGAAGGGGCAGGTCTTGAAAAAAGTAATGTCAGCAAGATCTGTCTTCAAATTTGTCAACGTTCCTCCTTGTTTGCTAACTGATTTATCCAATTTTCAAACCTGATCCTCCATCATATCATGTTTGGGATTCGGCAAGTCAGACCAATTGATAGGAACCCCTTTAATGCCTTTAGACAGTAAAGCTGAAAATCCTGACTTCCCCCTAACGCCTTCTAATAGCAATGACTAAGATATTGAAAAATACCTCAATATTATTTCTCTAACCTTTTGAAAGTACAACAATAACTGGGTGAACAAAATTACCCCCAAAAAGAGCACTCTCCTTTCACAATGGCGACAACCAGTATTGATTTTTTTCTCTCTCTCTAAAAGTGCCCTCAACATACGGTAGAGAACCTATTTATCCTGTCCTCATACACTAACAGACATAACAACCTACCCGTAACACCTACTAATGACAATCTTAACCCTTTTCTATTTTTCTTCTAACATACACCTGTAAAGGTTTTTCCCATTCCTTGTTGTCTCTGCTATGTCTAACATAAACTTTAAACCCTATCTTTTTACATTGAGGCTTGGTCATAGATGTGCCTACAAAGTATATCTAGGAGTCGATTGCATGCTTCTTGTAAATAATATAATCTTAGTTGGAGTGTTGAGAAAGGAAATAAAAGGAAAAGTTAGAACTTTAGAGGTGCGAAGACAAGTTTTTGGAGGCACATGGAAAACCATCAAACTCAGGTTAGACATAAAACTTGGAGATCATACCCTATCACGTAGTCACGTAGGTTAAGTATTTTTATTTCTTTTACATGATTTGTCTTGAAATATAACAAAATCCCCAGAAACCAAACTTATATATGAAAAAAAAACACCAAGGGTATTAAACTAATACATTCATACAAGTCCAGACTGTCATTTGTATTTGAAGTGTTGATTGATTATTAAACTAATTATTCACAATTTCAGGTTATCTACGAAACATAAATTTTCAAGAAATTTATATTATGAATGAAGCCATCTACAAGAAGCTGGTAAAGGAATAAAACTCACTTAATTTCCATATTCATGGTTTCTGCTTCTGAGTCCTCTGTCTGATTACAATTGCTTTGGTCAGGAAAAATCACTTTAAAGTTGAGGTAAAGGAGCCAGAGTTCAGGAGCTGTAAGAAAGAGAGTATTTGAAAACATAACAAGAGAAAATATCAGACACCACTTGTGCTCAGCCACTGAAACCAATGGAACATGCATAATTAGATCAGTATTTAATAATTATTTAACAACTCAGGCATGAGTTCGGACTAGTCTGTATATACATGGATTGGTTAATGCACGGTTAGTGTGGACTCTGTTATGAACACCTTCATTACAAATATTCCAATTAATTTCGTCTAATAAACAAAAAATAAATGATGTTACTCTTAATATGTGTTTACAATCTGACATAAACTTAATGAAACTCCTGATTATGTGATTTTATAAATGAGAGTTCCTTGCTTTTAGTTGAAAGACAATTCCCTAAACCAATTTTATGCATCCCAAGAAGTCAAACAAGTAGAAGCAGCAAAAATAACGAAAATTACGTTTAACATTCTAATACCTTTTGGAGAATCCTCTGTTTCTGACTGCAGCAGCTGGCTAACTGCTTTCAATCCAGCTTAGTCCGGGCATTTTTCTCAGGCCTCCTGTCATTTTATCCCTCAAATTCTTAACATCATTCCACCTCCCATCACCGGCATATATATTTGAAAGCATAACCCTGTAAACATTATCAGCAGGATTACTTGCAAAGAGCTGTTGTGCAACAGCTTCTGCCAGCTCAGAATTTCCACAAGAATTACAGCAGGATAATAAGGCTCCAAGAATAGCCTTATCTACAGGTTCTGGTAAGGACCGGATCAGACTGTAAGCCTCTTCCAACTCCCCAGAACTTCCAAGGAGCTTCACCATGGAAACATAGTGTTCAGGCCTAGCTCTGATGTTAAATTCCTCTTTCATTCTCCGGAAAATCTCCTTGCCATCTTTGACAAGGCCAGCATGACAACAGGCAGATAAGAGAGAAGAGAATGTGGCTTCATCAGGTACCAATCCTTTCTCCAGCATCTTATTAAACATCCTAAAAGCCTCGGAAGCATATCCATGCAAGCCAAAACCCAAAATTACAGAATTATAAGAAACAATATTCCGTTCTTGCATTATCCTGAAAACACAAATTCCCAACTGCAAGAAGCCACACTTTGAGTACATATCTATAAGAGCAGATGATACCCTGACATCTAGTTCCAATCCATGCCGAAGAGCAAAACCATGTACCTCGCATCCAAGTCCTACATTTGCCATCTGAGCAATAGAAGCTAATACACTGGCGACCAAAACAGAATCTGGCTTCCTGTCTTCCCTGTTTAATTTCCAAAAAAGGCGCAACGACATCTCATACTCCCCAGACTGAGAATACCCCACTATAAGAGCAGACCATGTGACCAAATCAGGATTCAAAATACTGCAGAAAACTCTATATGCCGAAGCCACGCACTTAAATCTCGAGTACATACTCACCAGCAAACTACCAACATGAGAATCAGAATCAAGCCCACTCTTTTGACTTAAACAATGTAATCCTTGGCCAATGCTCAGCACCCCAGAATCCGCAATACCCATCAGCAACCCAGCCAAGGTATATTCATCGGGCTTCTTCCCAACAAGTCTCATCGCACTAAACATCTGTATCCCCAAATCCCACAAACCAGAGCCCCCATAACCAAAAATCAACGAATTCCATAAAACTAAATCTGGTTCAGTGACCCCATTGAACACTCTACGCGCTTCATGAACAAGGTCAAGTTTTGAATAAGCAGTCACAAGTGCACTGCAACAAACAGGGTCCAGTCCTAACCCTGCAGCCACAACACCTCCATGAACACGCCTTAGCATACTAAAATCAAAGTTGTCAGCACAAGCACGTATAACACAAGCATAAGTGTGACCATCAGGGCTAATGTCAGCCCCAAGCATGGTTCTAAACATAGAGATTGCATTGAAAAATCTTTGGGACTGTGCGAAAGCTCGAATCATGGAATTCCAAAGGTAGACACTTCGGTTGGAAGTTTTGTCGAATACATTATGGGCAGAGTTGATGTCGCTGTTGATTGCATACAGCCTGACAATTTTTGTAGCGTAAAAAGGGTCTTCTGAGAGATGGGTCTTCAAAAGGAATGCGTGTAACTGCTTCACCCTCAAGAGCGACCTACAAATGTTGCTGAGTTCGGAATGAAGCCATTCAAACGGAATCAACATTAAGATAATAATGTGAATTTGTTGCGAGGGTTATGTGATGCTGGCAGAAACAAAGACGACATTCGTATAACAAACGATCATAGACAAGAGTTAGCATTCACTTTGTTGTGGATGTGTTCGTACTAATTTCTGAAAAAAAAATAAATAGAAATAAAAAACTAGGCTTAATTATTTTGTTCGTATCTCATACATCTAAGAAAAAAAATCAAGAGACAATCATTTTTTTTATTTTCTTTAAATTGAGAACGAAAATAAAAAAATCTAATTATATTAAAAATTATCATTATTTTTATATTTTTTTATTAGATTTATTTGTATATTTTATATATAATAATAATTAAATAAGAGAAAAAAATTACTTTCTTTTTTATTTTTTTCCCAAATAATATTAAAAAATTATTTAATTACCCAAATAGACTCTCCCATTTTATTTACCAAAATATACGTGTTTATTGTGTAACGACAGAATTCGATTCCCGAAAAAATCAATTCAAATTAAACTAAAATAAAAGAAAATTTATTTAAATTGATATTTTGAATCTCATGACGTGACAAATCTCTTATCATCAATGGTCTTGTGTTGCTTCCTCCAAGATCAAAGACCATGTTGTGAGACTTGTCAAACAACATCAAAGTCAATTTATTAACCATAGGTTTCTTCAATCCAGTCATGTGCAAGAAATGAAGAACTATCGAAGCTCTCCTATGAATTATTTTAGTCAAAAAATAAAACCAGAAGGATGCTAGAAATGAAACTTGTTTGTTTATATTTTTCATGCTTATAGACCTTCTCATTCACACAAACAACCTCATACAATGAAAAATGTCCATGAAAGTCCATTCTATATTTATCAAGCTCGAAAATATCAAACTTAGTATGCCCAACAAAACTAATAACCACAAAGTTGACATTTAATTGGCTAGTTTGGTTTTTGACTTTATCCATCACTATGCTGGTTTCTTTTTTGGTCTCATTTTCTTTGCTCAATTAGGGTTTCCTTTGGTCTTTATAAAACAACTCTCCCTTAGTCAATAATGTAAGGGATTTCTTATGATTAGCAATTTCAAAAGAATAGATAAAATCTTTTTCCTTTCTTTCTTGGCTTTTAGTTTCTTCAATTACTCTATTTTCTTCCTCCTCTCTTTCTTGGTCAGGCCTAGGTTCCTAGGGTTAGAGTATTCCCTATTATAATATAAGTCTACTCAGATCAAAACTAAACTAGTTGATTCACTTTCGCCTATCGGCCGGCTTTTAGCAATCTTCTCATTTCCTACTAAGATCTCAAGTCTCCAAGTGGGCCCTCTTGGTCACCCGCGACCTTGGCTTTCTAGAGAATCCCGCTCCTGTGTCGTGGGACTTGTAGTTCGGCAGTCGACCGGGTGAGTTTGTTTATCCTTCCAATTTCGAGTGTCTTCTTGGATAGTTAGAGTGGCCCATAGGCGCGAGACGTACCTTGTTTGGGGGGGGGCGGCGGTCCATGGGACATAGTCCTTTCAAGCAGTGGCCATTTAGTCCATGGTCCATTAGATGGTCGGTGCAAGGCCAGAAATTGGAACATATTGATTTCGCTCGTTCCTGTCCTTCGCTTTAGGGCATGTCCCTCAATGTGGTCAGTACTCCATATTGTCCAGCCACGAAGCTTGCACTTGTTAACTAATTATGACGGTTCACCAGGGCCTCTTTCCTCCTCCCTTTTTTCTTCACTCGTAAGGGATCTAGACCCCCACAAAGGTTAAGGAGTCGACTAAACATCTCAGCCATTGGCGGGAATTTCGCCCGCATCCGATCCCCAATTCTTGTTCACCCCGGATGATCGTGTTGGGTGAATTGTGACCTCGTACGATCGTGTTAGGTGAGCAACAACCGCTTCGTCACAGTACTTACTTATGAGCTAACGGGTCACACTTTGGCCAAGAATCCTACAAATATACTCCCGAGAGCCAGAAGTATTAAAGAATGGGCGCATCATGACATCGTAAGATGTCTCGCCTGAATGAATTAGTTAGTACTAGAAATGTTAGAAAAAGTGAACGAAAAGAGTAATAAGAAGTGAAAAGGACAGAAACACTTCCCAAACCTGAAAGCAAAATTCCCACTTATGGTATACTTAGTGTAAGCGAGCTCTAATATAACATCTTTGGAATCAAATCCAATTAGAAAAGGAAATCCAATCAGAGATAGTTGCCCATGAGCATCATGGCATAGGTAAAAGGGAACGAGGAGGCAAGCCCCTCATCTTCCGCATATCTTGCTCATCCGACATGGCATGAATCACCGAACCTACACTCAGGAATAGTAATGCTTTGAAAAAGGCGTGATTCATTACGTGAAAGACGCTAACCGAATAGTTGGAGATGCCGCAAGCAAAGATCATATAGCCTAATTAACTGTAAGTTGAATAAGCTATGACCCTCTTTAGATCGTTCTGTAATATTCCAGTGGTTGTCGCAAGGAATGACGTCATAGCTCCTGCAGAAGTAATAATAATCAAAGTCGTAGGTGGGTATTCAAATAAAGGGGAGCACCTTGCTATCATGAAAACGCCAGTTGTGACCATAGTAGCTGCATGAATCAAAGCGGATACTAGAGTGGGACCCTCCATAGCATCGGGTGACCAAGTATGCGATCCTATATGTGCAAATTTCCTAACAGCACTAATAAGAAGTAAAATACAAATAAGAGTTATGGCATTGAATCTCATATTGCAAGAAATCCAATAATTTCTGGGGGCACTAGCACGAGCAAAAATGGTTGAAAAGTTTATTGTTTGAAAGAGAGTAAAACAACCCGAAATCCCAGGAGCTAATCCAAAATCACCTACTAGATTGACAGGCAATGATGTGAATCAAGCGAGCTCCCCTTGCATGCAATGATGTGGTGGTGAACATCTCATTCTAATTCAGTGCTCTCTGAACCGTGCGGGAAGGTTTCCCATCACACGGCTCACCAACTTGATCTTTCGCAGGAACCATATGTCTGAACAGGCTTGGAAAAACAAGTATGATCTCCCTTTCCTTTGCCACTCAAGTGTAAGGCATCTACCGTGCTTAGGCCCCTTCTTCCCCTTCCCCTAATGAAAGAGTCCCCTTAGTCAACTCAAATAGTAGTCTCAAATAGGGTGTGCAGGTCTGCCTCTTTTTTAGTAGGTAATTCACTACCGAAGCGATGATCAAGAAAACGGGGTACTTCAATCAATACGGAGGTGCGCTAAGGCGGGGGGGGAGTGTTGCTATAGGTTGGGTCGTTCCCCATAAGGCCCCACCGTCGGGGCATAAGCGCCCTCTTCCTACCCATATGCGACGCGCCGTCTTAGTCTTCCCTGACCAGGATCACTCCCACACCTGTAGTGTTCGTGATCGGCCTACTCAATTGTGTATCAATCGAAAGGCAGGGCAGCACAGCCGCCCCAAGGGAGTGGTTACGTCCAATATGTCCCCCCTTATTCCCGACATGCTATGGTGCCCCGAGGTGGGTAGGAGCAGATCGAGTTCGTATCGCCACGGAGCAACAACCACGTCTGAAACTAATCTATCTACTCTGCAATTCATCTAGTGACTTCACGGTCGCCAAAGAAGCCCCAAGAAGCATCAAACATTTCCGATGAGATCCATATAACAAGCACTAGCTCTCGGTGCGAATTCATAAAACGCAATCAAAGTAAGATCAAAGAGAATGAAACGCATGTTGTGGTCATTATAGCACTTCAGTTTGATCCTAGAAAACGTCCGATAAAACCTACAAAGGAACTACCGATCAGGGGCAAAAATACGATTAGTAGATACATAATTTCGAGTGTGATCAGACAACAAAAAATAGACAATGACAGAGCGGCCTGTAATAAGAGCCAGACCCTTAACAAAAAAATATTAAGGTGATAGAGTGTTATCAGGAGACACTAGGTTTCGCTTCGGAATTGAAAAAAAAAATGAAAGATTTTTGTCAGCAGATTCCGCTCATAAAGTTCTTGTTTGATATACCGCTGTTAGAACACCACAATATTCTTCCTTTTGGGGTTAATGCTCTCAATGGTGAATCGATCATTCGATATCTTTTTCCTTCTTCTTTTGTTGTGAGAACGGAATGGAAGAAAAGTAATGAAACCCGCGATGGCTACTAAATAACCTCCTTTTACTTTATCAATAATAAAGTTTTTTACCTTTGTATTCGTTCGTCAAATCTTATTCAGTACCATCCAAGCTAGGTTTTGTCTGAATCTTCGTGGAAGAAGCGGTTCACCAGCCGCTACATATGTGGATCACACCAAATCATTAAACCTGGCGATTGCTCGCTCTTTGATCAGTGATTCGCCTGCCACTAGATCGATGAAGAATCTCTCCAAAATCTTCTTTTTGATCAGTGATTCACCGGCCACTAGATCTAGGGATCCCACCTTATTCTTAAACCCGGTGGCTCGGTTGATTGGCACTCCTGTAGGCTCATCTTGCATAAAAATTATGGGGGTCCCAAGTCCTACATCCACCAAGAACATTTCTTCCCCTAAGTGTAAAACTTTAGATTGTAAGGCCTTTCCACTACATAAGAATAAACTGGAATTATATCTTGGAAATGATCAACTCAAATAGATGCTCAGCATAAGCTTTTTTTTCCTCCTCTTCCTGTTCTATTGATCAGAATCTTTCGATCCCAAACATCAAAATATAGATCACTAGCATCCGGCTCTTCCTAACGATCACGAAAGACAGAACCTCGATCACCACTAGCACTAGGATCCCTACTTTCTTCTCTTATGTAATTTAAAGTTACAGGGAAAGATCACTCCTAAATGCAACAGTGATCTTATATATGCTATATGTGGCTGCTTCAAGTAACCGCATTTCTAAAGCATAAGTGATAGCTTAAAGGCTTGTTGTGAGAAGAGCTTTTTTCTTTCTTTTTTTTCTTAAGTCACCATCAGAATGAAAGGTAGATTCAAAGTGCCAAATCTCTAATCACTAGTCTTAATTATTTATCAACTGTAACCTACATTCCTTAGCTCTAAAGCTAGTGAATGTGTAACGAGAGCTACAGGTGTAGCACCCGAGTGAGCGAGTCTTACTGTCTGTCTTGGGCTAATCGCTTGGACTCTTTCCCTCCCAATTGCTTCTTCTGCCATCAACTCAAGTAGCTCAAGAAGAAGCCAAAAAGAAGAAAGCAAGGTGCACTCAATCAAAGTTGCCTTTAACACAAACAACCTGAAAGTGGGAACTCCCATCATCAAGGGATTTGGCTCATTTAATGCCAGCAAGAAAGGCATATTCAAAAGAGACAACCGTAGCTAGCAATTTCAGTTTAATCTGCTTACCATGTCTCCTCTGTAAGGTCTCTCTAGACCCTCAGTCAAACCATCATCCTCTGTAAAGTCCAATGTTTAATATATCTTCATCCTCACTTGCACCTCCTTGTCAGGCCTAGCTAGGCAAACTGGTGCACCTTCTAAGTAAGGGTGAGGGTGTACGTATCCCAAGTGGAATAATTCCCATTTGGATCAAAACTAGGGGGAATTGATCTAGGCTAATCAGTGGCAAATAGAAAGTTAGGTTCCACCCTTCATCCTGGTGATGATACTAAAGTTCTTGTGATTTCCCTATTCTCAATCCTTATACAATCTTTCACTAAATTACATCAGGTCGCTAAGGTAAGACCTTTCTTTTCCCTTTCTTTCTTGCATTTCTTCTCGTCCATGGTGGATCCCTTTCTATGCGGGTCAGGCTTCTTCTCATCAATAAGTAGTGGAAGGGAATCAAAATCACTGCTCTTTTATTTATATTTACTTGGCCAGTTCCACGACAAGGACCTTTCCTTTTGGGCTTATACACACCATTAGCCTTGTTCTGCCTACCGACCAAGACTTCTCTTTCTAGCCCCTCTACGCTTATCAACACTTGCATTCCTTCCTTTGATTGCTTCTTGTACTCCTTTTATCATATTCCTTTGTCTTTGCATCTCAGTCCCGAATCGACTAATTGTCTTCTTTCCTATAGTTTGAATTCGTTATTGACCTGTACCTATAAATAATCTTTGCTGGCTTGAGTCCATGTGATTTATCAATATTATTCTATTCTAATAGTAGCACTGAATCCCTACTTCTTCTTGAAAATGGGAAAAGACTACTTCTTGAATTGTGCCCGACACCAGATAAGACTAATAGAGATTTACTAAGCGAACGAGCCTGAAAGCGCTTCCCCTAGCTTGATCTAAGTCTTTTACATTTGCCTTACTTATGTGCTCCTCGTCCCTTGCTTTCTTATTCTGACACCGATTATTGTCGATGAAGCTTTGGACATCAATTCTATTCTCTATAATGAAAACGAAGATTCAAAGTTTCCGAATAGGCCTTCCACTACGCCATCTATTAGCCTTCCTACCCCTCTCTTTCTTTCCAGTAAAAAAGAGTTGAACCGACCGGTCCGGTTTTCAAAACAATGATTATTATCAACCATCCCTTAGACATCATCATAACTACACTATAATAGTAAATAACATACTTTATGATCAACAAATACATGTTGTCTCAAATTAATTTCATAACAAAAGGAGCATTCAATAATGAGCTACACAGTTACTATAATGGATTAAACAATTTACATAATAACAAGTGATTTTATAGTTGCTGCAACACTATATCCATAAGTCTTGTTCCAAATATCTTAGTAAATATCAACAGTACACCTAAGTCTTCACGATTCAAAGTGACTTTTTTCAGATGATGGTATAAACAATTATTTTTATATAACACTACACCTAATGTGCATATAAACAATCGTTTTATATAACACTGCACCTAATGTGCATATAAGCAATAGTTTTTTTTTTTTTTTCATTGAATGTTTGGTTAAACATTCCCCATCACAGGCAATATAAAATGACCAAGAACAAAAGTGTATGAAAATTCAAGGGCAGAAACATCAAAGCCAAAACAGAAAACCAACACAAACCAATAAAAACCAACCAGGCCAAGGCAATCAAAACCGAGAAAACAATCAGTGTCGAAAGCAGGAATCAGAACCACAATGAATCCAAACCAAAAAAGGAACCATGGCCAATACATATAAAAATCAACAAGGTATCAGAGCCAATATAGATCAAAATCCAAAAAGAAAAGAACCAGTGGAGGAATCTGCCCTAATTCTAGTCTCCCTCCTCGGCTAGTAGGGGGTTCGATACATGGCTCCGCGTTGGGCAGTGATTCTTGGGGAGGAGCACTCGACCACTCCTCTCTTCGGTGGTGGCCGCGATGGTTTGGGTTTTTGGTGGTTGTAGTGGTTTGGGGCTTTGGTGGTCGCGGTGGTTTGAGGTTTTGGTTGTTGTAGTAGTTTGGGGTTTTGGTGGTTGTGGTGGTTAGAGCGAGAGTGAAGAGGTAGGCTCGCGATGGGGTTTGTGGTGGCCTAGGCGCGAGGTTGGGTGGCTCGCAGTGGTTAGGGCCAACTTGCAAGCTTGGGGAAAGGTGAGGAGGCACAGTGGGGCTTGGTTGTGATGTGGGCGTGGTGAGTGCGGGTTTTGGCGGTGGCGAGCAAGGGTGAAGGGTGGATCTCAGTGGTCAGGTGTGAGTGCTGAAGTGAGAAGAGCGTAAGAGTGGAAATGGGGCCAGGGAACACTCTAAAAATTGCAATGAAAAAAAAAAAAAGAAAAAGAAAAGAGTAAATCAATTTTTTAATCTTTTCTTTTTTTCTAATTGTAAAAGAATATATAAAAGTTTTCCTTATTTAATAGTTATTTATTTTTATTTTTTTTTTAAGTCATTTTTATTTTTCTTTTCAATATTATTTATTTATTTTTTAAAATTTTATAAGTTAATTTTACTATTTATATTTTTCATTATTTTTAGTCACCAGAATGAAATAGAGTGTTAACAATATTTTTCACTTCACTATTGTTTTAATAACATTATACTTACTTTTTTTTAAATTAATGATTATACAAATCATTAAGTGGAAAGATGATTAAATAATTTTTCTTTTTTCTCAAAAATAATCCATGCAAATTAGTATAAATAATCTAATCTAAACTTTAATAAAAATAAATAAATACATTTTGTACTCACCCAAAAAGAAAAGTTAAATTATTCTACTCAAATAATTTATTAAGAAAATATATAATATAAGACAAAAATAAAAAAAATAAGTTGATAATTATTGTCTAACCCTTGTAATTTGATTAATATAATTTAATATATATATATATATATATATATATATATATATTTAAAACTTATATGAATTTAAATTATAAATTTTAATATTATTATTGTAAAAAATATTTTCTAAAATTAGTATATAATTTTTAAACATTTGAATATAATAAATAATTTTTAATGTAATATAATATTATTGATATTTATTTTTAAAATTATTAATAACTTTTAAAAATATATAAAAATTAAAAAACTAAACAACATCGATATATAATTATATTAATTTTTTATTTTAATATTTACATTAAATTAAATTTAAATAATAATATATTATTATTATTATTATTATTATTATTTTAAACTAATATTATTATTTATTTATTAAATTATTAATATATATATATATATATATATATAAGTTAAATAATTTATATATTATTATCAATTTAATAAATAATTAATTACAAATTTGAAAAAATAATACTTGTTAATTAAATAAGTAATAATTTAATATTTATCCAAATAAATAATTTATAGATTAATATTTATCAAATAAATAATTAATATATTGATTTTTATTAATTAAATAGTTAATATAATATTTTCTATTAATTAAATAAATATTAGGTTAGTTTTTATGAATTAAATAAATAACACATTAATCATTTAAAGATTTAATATATTACTGGTGGATATATAGGTGGACTTTGTCAAATTTCCATCAACAATATAAAATTCATAATAAAATAATATTAGTGGATCATTTATATTTATGAATGGATTTATATTTATCAATATTTTGTATTTATCAACGGATTTATATCCATAACTAAAAACATATTTGTAACATAAATTTTCTATGATAATTTAATTTACCCATGGATTTGCATCCCCAAGTAGATTTCTATTGATAATTTAAAATTTTCTTATTGTATATTAGAAAATTTCTTATAATATCTTGTAATTTAAAATTTTCTTATAGTATCTTCGAAATTTTCATATTCATTGAAAATGAAAAAAAAACATTTAATAGTAATTAACACTCTTGGTAAAAAAAATATCTATCCTTAATTATAAATAGAGTCATGAGAGTAATAAATAACATAAGAATAGTAATGAGGTGTGTGACGTATGCCTTATATTATATTAATATTACTGTGCAAGAAAACTTCGTAACGAAGTTTTCTTCATGCACAGTAAATTTTTTTGCTTATATATGAATACTGAAGCGGGGGAGGAGAGGAATCAAAATTTTCCTCTCATCCTTCTTCTTCTATTGTCTAAATTTCAAGCAACGAGACTCTACTCGTGCAGGATCTGGTGAAACGGGAGAGAACCTAAATTAAGTGGGAAAGCTTCGGTAGAAATACCATACCAAGTAAGGGGAAGTTTAATTCATTCAATATATGAAATTGAATTGTTGGTACTCTGTAAATAAGGAATAGGAGTAGAGATATGAATGATTGGAATGTATGATTTTGAAGAATGTCTGTTGCAGAATGAACTGTTCACCGTTTAAAAGTTTTAGAAATTCTTGAAATTAAGGATGAATTATATAATAAAAGTGTTGTTTTTAACTTAAATTGAACATGTTTATGGTTTAATTTTGATTTGGAACTAATTTGGGTGATTGAAACTGAGAAATTTGAAATCTGGAATTCGAAAATGGCGAATTGGAAAACCTGCAAAATTCGCTCAAGCGAAAATACGTCGCTTGAGCGAGGATACCTGGAAAATTTGGGATTCTCGGGTTCTTTCTCGCTCAAGCGACCGGTGTACTCGCTTGAGCGACGAAAGCTTCAAACAAAGGTGACCCTCGGTCATGTCTCGCTCAAGCTACGGTGTACTCGCTTGAGCGACGACGCCTTCAAACAAAGGTGACTCTCGGGTCATGTTTTGCTCAAGCGACCGATGTACTCGCTTGAGCGACGAAAGTCTTCAAACAAAGGGGACTCTCGGGTCATGTCTCGCTCAAGCGACCGTTTTACTCGCTTGAGCGAAGAAGCCTTCGAACAAAAGGGAATCTAGGGTCATGTCTCGCTCAAGCGACCGGTTTACTCGCTTGAGCGACGAAGCCTTCAAACAACGGGGATTCTCGGGTTCCATCTCGCTCAAGCGACCGGTGTACTCGCTTGAGCGAGCGAAGGAAGAAGAAAGGGATATGGTGTGAATTTTTTAAAAAGATTAAGGGCAAAATAGTAATGATTTCGAAAATGATTTCGAAAATAGTTCGGAAATAGTTTCGGAAATGATTTCGGAAATTATTTTAGAAAAATATATATATATAAAGATAGAGAGAGAATAAAAGTAGTGTGTTGTGACGTGTGTGGGTCAGACTGAGCCTGAGGGCTGATGCCCAGAATCAGTCCTGAGACGTTATATATTGGCTAGACTGAGCCGGAGGGTTGGTGTCAGAATCAGTCAAATACTATTTTTATTGACTCGAATAAGCCGTGAGGACATGTGGTTCAGAATCCGGCAAATGTGAATAATTTTTATTATGTTTGAATGGTACCCGGGGTGGTACAGAGTACATTAGTGTAATAACTATGTCGGAGGATTCTGAATGAGGTCCCAGACTTCACTGATTGGTCGGGTCAGGTAGACTACGAGATCAGGTGGTGAGAAGTCGATGGGGGGATGACTGATGGCGCGCTCGGAGGGGTACTCCAGTATGAGTGATGAAGGGCGCCAGTAATCCTACTCTGTGTGGAGGGTGGTTAGAATGGTACTGCGGGTACCGATCACAATGTGCCCACAGATGATAGCCTCTGAGTTCGGGCATAGTTAGGGTATACTTCCGGAAGGTGTCTTAGTGTGTTGATAATTTCGTAATTAATCATAATGTATAATTCTATATCTGTTTTATTATATCGAATGATTTAATACTTACCCCTATTTTTCCATGTGGATGGGACTGCGATGATCACTTTTATGTGGGAGCAGATCAGGAGTTGAGAGATGGTGATGTGACTACTGGACAGCAGGGATAGTTCAGTGGGATAGCTTCGAGGGAGCTACTGTTACATGTATAATGTATAAATAAATGATGTTACTATATTTTGAAGTTCCGTTAGTGAACTGGAATTTCAATATATGTTACAATCACAGTAATATAATGTAAAATAAATGTTGTTATTTACTTGTTTACTACTTTGCGAAGACGTCGTTATAGTAGCGATTTCTAGGGTCGTTACAAGGTGAAAAGATATAGAGTAATAAATAACATAAGAATAGCAATGAGGTGAAAAGATAAGAAAGTGAGGTTTATTTTTGGTGATATTGTTCTAAATCATTTTAAAAGAGTGATTCAATATTTTATCCTCTCAAAAAAAGAGATTATTTTATATAATCCTACCTTCTTAGTAACTTCTTATACTATTTTTTATTTTTATTTTCTTAAACCGATAAGTTTTCCATATTAAAGTTATTACGTGTTATTTATTTTATTATTATTTTCTCGTACTTCTGTTTTAATTTACACAAATAAAAAGGATTTTTTTTCTCTCTTAGAAGGTCAAGGAAAAGAGGCTTCTGAGGATTAAGAATGTTGGGCCAAGTGTGAAAGAAAAAACAAGAAAGAATTATCCCTTCTAACTTCCACACGAAAAAGAAAAAACGTTTGTCATTCCGTGGTAATTTGTAATTGAGAAAAATCCTAAAAAAAAAAAAAAAAAAAAAAAAACTTTCTTTTAAGACACGCATTTTATCTTATGAACAATTTTTATATAAAGATAGACCTAACATGTCACTTAAAATTGGGGGAATTCATAAGTTTTTTTTTTCGCTTGCACTTCTTTTTTTCCTTTTTATATTTCTATCTCATTAATTACTTCCTCACAAATAACCCACACAAAAATAAAAAAAGATAATTGAACTTTTTTAAAAAGTTATACTTGAAAATAATTTAGAATTTATTTTAAATAATTAAATAACTTAGTGTACATCTAAATGAAATACGTATATTGAATAAAATAAATCCTTGATTATATTTTAAATTATTTTAAACAGAGATAAATATTTTAAAAATTATAAATAGTTTATTTAATTAAATAGAGAATATATTTTTATAATAAATTATGTAAATGTAATTATTAAATCGTTCTAATATTGTTTAATTATATTACTGATTTATGTTCATTTTTCTAATAACTTCTTATAGCTTTTAATTATATTATAATATTTATTTTTCTAAAAATATGATAATGTTATGATTTATTTGATAATATACTAATTTAATAATAATATGTAAAAAAAAGTTAATTTTGTGAAATTCAAGTAATATTTTATTAAATATGAAAAATAAAATTAAATCAAATTATTTGAAAGTTAAATTTATTAAAATATTAAATTTTATAATATTTATCATAATAAATAATACTATTTAATTGATTAAACAATTATTGATACTTTTTATAATATTATCTTAGTTTCAAAATTTAAAAATATATTTAAGAATTATTTTATTTAAAATACACATATCATTTTTATATATAGTAAATTATATTATTTAAAATAAATTTTCTCAAATATATTTAAAATATTTTGAAACATAATTATTTTATTTGAGTTATTTATCGGAAAATAATTAGAGAGAAAAATATAAAAGAGAAAAAAAAATGCAAGAGAAATGATAGTCACTAACCAGTGAAGCCTGAGTTGTGAAAACAAAAACGAATTGGGTGAGAAAAAAATCTGAAAAAATATGCTTCATGTTTTAAAAATTATTCTTTTAATTTTTATTTAAAGTTTTAAAAGTTATACTAATTTATTAAAATATTATAAAATGAATTTTTGTTTTAAAACCAAAAGAAAGTTAATATCATTTAATATAATTTCTTGAAAATAAACAATTTTGCAATTTTAGTTGTAAAAATAAACTTTATGACTATTTCTACTGGAAGAAAGCAGATGTGATAAATTGTTAAATTTTGTAAATATTATAATTTATTAAGTTCGGTCAATTTTAACATGATAATTATTCACTTTTAGGGGATAGAACTACAAACCTAATAGAATAAATATGAAGATTAGAAATTATGTTTTAAAAAGGGAAAAAAAGACAATTGTGTATTTTTCTTTTAGAATTAAAAATAAAATAAAAAATCCTCTCCACCAAAACAAACATACATAGCAATGTTATTTTCGAGAGTGAATGATCTTAGCAAGTGAAAACCTGCCATTACAAGCATTTGGTAACGGTCCTTCCTACTCTATACAAGAAAATATTTAAACTGTCAAATGTACATCTATCAAGTGTAGAGAAAATATGTAGTATCATATAGTTCAAACAACAGTGAGTTTCCGACTAATTTAACACTTGCTCCGTTCTATCAGTATTAAGATCACCGATGCTCTACTGCTTTAATCTTCGTCCATGACATCTGCAACACGCCTGCTGCATATAGTACATGACATGATTCTTTGCTTTCCAAAAGAAAACAAATGTAATCCACATTCATTTGCTATGACCTATTCAACAATATATTCTTACTGTCGAATAAACAATGAGCATAAAATTGAGTTAAATGAACATTGACACCCTAATTAACATGCACTCTCAATCTGATTTTTGAAGCATGTTGCACTATCTAGCCAAAACTTCAATCAAAAGTGAGGTTGGGGCTTTCAGGCAACATAGAGCACTAAGGTTACAGTCGCACAAACCCACAATATACCTACCCTCATACTATAAAGAGTGATAAACCAAATGGAGTTACTATTTGCTTTTAAACAATATTCCACCCTTACCTCGTTTGGGCAGTTAAAACAGAGTTCTTTGAACTAGCCATGTCATCATCATTATCAGAATCAAAATCTTCACCACTCCATATGCGAGGTTTTGCTCTTATATCCATGTGCTCCTCTTCCTGAAATCATTTATTGATTAAAATCAAACAAGAAAGAAGAAAATGGAAGAGTAAAGTAACAACCTCTTCAGGAACTTGTATGATTGATGGTGTTGTTTGAAAAGGTGCACTGGGCGCATGGGGAAGCCTGGAAAGTTGTTCTAGTAATGCACTCCTGGATAATCAATTAAAACAATATCTTAATCAACTTTAGTTCCAAGGAAGTTCTAGCAATAATCACTAGATGCATAAGTAGTAAGTACATGGCTAGATGAGAAAGAACAGAATATCTCTCATAAACATATAACTATACTGAGCATACCTAGCTAAAACTTATACATGATAAAGTAGAATTCCATTTTTGTTTGGGCCACTAGGGTGATAGCATTTACTACTAGAGGGGGGGGACTTGAAGCTGGCTCCCCAACCATCGATGGGAAGCAGGTTATCATCACCTTAAAGTGGAAGTGAACTACTTTTAAAACAAATTCTGTATATATTGCAATCTACAGTTGGAAAGCTCCATGTCGGGTCTGCTGGTTGACATGAAATTGTAACTTGTAACCACTTTCCAATGTAGAACAACCCCCCCCCCGAAAACAGACAAACACACTTGTACGGGCACTGTACGCATGAGAAACTGGAAGTTATAATCCTGCTCAAGTTCAGTCCCTGCCTCCCTGGCCTAGGCACAAAGGAGAGACAACTTGCTATAGTGGGTTTAGATATTTGACTTCTAGAACAATACAATGTCTTAAACCAAACAATGGAAAGGGCCCTCTTCCATTTCTAAACTATATCTTGTTCAGGCATATGCAATTATTTACAAGAATCTGAAAAGCTGGAGCATCGTATTTGCAGAAAGGATGTAACTTAGCTACTGAAAAATATAGTGTGCATCTGGCTAATTAGATTCACAGGTATTAAATAATTATTCACGGCCAGATTTTTTTCCTCAATCATAATGAAAAAATAATTGAAATCAGAATCTGAATAGTGATGCAGCAGAAAAAGGAACTAATGTAACCTTACCGAATTTTTTCCAGATCCCTGGGTGTGTTTAGATTTTCCATGTTGGATGGCTCGGGATGCAGAGTATAGTCTGGGCCAAAATATTCAAAATATTCATTGTAAGGCAACTTAGGATTAGGCTCCACTCCGACTGCCACCGCAGTCTAAAACAAAGAAAGTGCAAAATAATAGTCAGTAAGTATCATTATTAGGCCATAACTAAAACCATGTTACATTTCAGTCCAAGTAGGTACAGAAAGGGACCTCGTAACACCAACAACGAGCAACATTCCGAACTGTATATCCTCCCCCACCCAATACCATTAAAGGAACATTGAATGATCTAAGGAAACGAAGACAATCTGCATGACCCTTCACAGTCAAGTTGAAGCAACCCAACCGGTCACCAGACAAGGAGTCAGCTCCACACTGAAGAACAACTGCATCCGGTTGATAAACATCCATAACTTTTTGAATGATGGGGCGAAACAGACCACGGAAAGTCTCATCATCCAATCCATCATTGAGGGGGACATTTAGAGAATAATTCTTTCCAGCACCCACTCCAATGTCTTTAATGTGCCCAGTTCCTGGGAAAAATTCCCCAAACTTGTGAAATGACACTGTCATCACCCTATCAGTAGTGTAAAATGCCTCCTCGACCCCATCTCCATGGTGAACATCAATATCAACATACAGCACACGCTGACCATCACCAAATAACACATAGCATGAGCAATATAATCAGAAAAGGAACAAAGGCAAATTGATTCTAATAAAATTAACAAAACAAACACTTATATATGCAGTAACAGAGCAGCAGTTTTCGTAAAAGTAACATTATAATTTTGATTTTCAAATGCATAAGATATACAGAAAAAAATAAAAATAAAGGATAAAATATAATTTTAGTCCCATAAAACATCTGAAAACTCAGGTCATGCGATTGTAGTCCCCACGTTTACTGAAAGTCATGCGATTTTAGGGCCAAATTGATTTTGAATGAAATTGATTTTAGTTAAAATTGATTATGATGAGATGTGATTTATGTTTAGATGTTTTATTATAAAAAGTAAATTGATTGTTAAACTTGGTATAAATTTCTCTCCAACCCAAAAGCTACCTACAGTAGCGACATCTCAAAATCAACTCTAGACCTATAATCAATTCCTCAAAATGGAGCCAAACATGCAGAAAATTTACCTAATCACATTAACTAGTGTATCAATGTGATTCTGAGCAATCTAACATGAAGCAAAACAGGCACCTAGCCTCCCTTCAAATACTAAAATGGTGTTTATTTTGAAATATAAGAGGTGTTCGTGGATTGAATTGGTTGGAGTTCAGGGCAAAATTAAATCCAAATCTGATCATATTTAATGTGTTTGTTTGATAAGAAAACAGAGAATAAAATTACCCTATGAACTTTGAGAAGTTCGAGAATGCCGAGAACAATGTCGTTGACGTAGCAGAAGCCGGAGGCTTCTGCCTTCTTGGCGTGGTGCAGGCCGCCGGCCCAGTTGATGGCGATGTCGGCATCCCCACGATTGAGGCTAACGGAGGCACCGATAGAACCGCCGGCGGATGCGCTGCAGAAGTCGAAGAGACCATCGAAGACAGGGCAGTCTTCGCCGACGTTGAAGCGCTTAAGCTGGCGGTAGTGGGAGTGAGAGTTATCGGATAGGATTTGCGGCGAGACGGAGGACAGAAACTCCACGTAGTCATCGGAGTGGAAGCGGCCGATGTCGGCCTCAGCTGCGGGAAAGGGGCGGTTGACCTGCATGCGACGGTGGAGACCGTAGTGGACGATGAGGTTGTGGGCCATGCGAATGCGGTGCGGCTTCATTGGGTGGCCTTGACCGTAGTAGTAATCCCCGATGCACGGTTCGTAGAAATACGTCACTCTCCGCTTCTTCGCATCTGTACCAACCGAGGGTAACGACGCACCACTTTCCGTCTCTGCTCTCTCCCCTCTAGCCATTTCCCTCTGTTCCAATTAACAAAACCCTTCTTCTGTTTTCCTCTGCTACAATGGTCACTCTTCTTTCGAGCTTCCAAATTTATATATAGGGTACCCGTGATTTCATTATTCTATCATTCCAAATTCTAAAATTCTCTTCTAAATTTTATATTTCTAAACTTATAACAATATCCTCCAATTTTATTAAATATTTATTATAATTACATATCTAAGGAATTTTACATTTTATAATTTGGTCAAAGGTAAATTAATATGTAAATAACACATTATTATTATTATATGTTAATTAATATTCGTGATTGTAAAATCAAAGATAATTATTTTTATAGTTTTTAAAAGAATTAATTAATTGATACTCTTGACTTTAAAATATATATATTTAATTTATTATTTATAAAATTTAAATAAAAATTTATATTAAATTAATTAGTTAAGTTTATCCATTAAGATAAATAAGAATTTGATAGAGAAATAAATTTTTAATTATCTTATATATTTTGGATTGAAAAGAGAATTTTAGAAAATGAAAAAAAATAAAATAAAAATATGATTATTTATATAAAAATAAAAAGAGTAAAAATGATAAAAATAAGTAAAAAAAATATAATTAATAATATTGATTTGATTGATAATTAAAGTAAATGATAAAATAAATTAATAAATAAATAAAATATTTTTATCATAAATTTAATAAAAATAATGGTCGTGCAATGGTTTGTATGAAAAAATACAATATGTTGATTTTGTATACCTTGAAAAATTATCACCAATAACAATAAATAATTCATAGACAAAAGATTGGCAGTGTTTTATAGTGCGCTAGGAATACGACACGCCATAAGCTTTGTTGAACACCTGTAAACAAACGGATAAGCAGAACATCTTGATGGAGTTAAAAAAGAGGTTGGGAGAAGCCAAAGAGGAATGACCCGAAGAGCTATTAGAGACGTTGTGGGCATACAGATGCACACCTCAATCATTCACCTAAGAGACACCCTATAGCCTAGTATATGGTGTCGATCGAAGTGGAAAAACTGACCATGAGGAGGAAGGCGATAAGTGAAGCCGAGAATGAAGAATGCATAAGGATCGAACTCGACCTACTCAAGGAGCTACAGAGGAAGACACAAATTCGGGAGGCGACGACTAGCCAGGAGATACTTGACGAAGGTCAAACTAAAGTCGTTTAAGGAAGAAGATCTAGTATTGTGAGTCAAAAGCAATGCACGGAAGAAACCAGCGGAGGACAAATTTCATAAATTTCCTACAAGATTCTAACCCTAAACATCCTAAGTCAATCTTTGTGGGGGAGGAGGTTCATAGGGAGGAGGTTCATATTAACAGGTCTCTCTTCTAGTCATGCTCCTTGATAAACCTTTAGCGGCATAAGTTTTCAAAATTTAGTTTCTCCAAAAATGTAGTAAGAGTTAAACCAAGTATCAATTCAAGGAATGAAATTGCAAATTGTTCTTTTTATGGTGTGTGGGGATTTTGAGTTATAAAACTAAAAAAAAAAAATGAAAGTAAACAACTAAAAGGAATTTTTAACTAGTAAACTAAAATATGTCAAATTACTTTGTATGGAAATTGGTAAATATTTTAAATGGAACTAAATACTAAATGGTAAAATCAAATTGGTAAAAAAATGCTAAAGATGCTAAAAACAATTCAAGAATCGAATAAAAAATACCAAAATTAACAAAAAAAACTAGTTACGAATTTTGTGACAAATTTAGCAAGAAAATTTTGTATCTTGTAAATCTAATGGAAAATAAACTAATCAAGTATCAAAGTTAGAAACCAAATTGAATAAGCACATAATTGGAATTGGAAAATGATTAAAATAATATAGAAACTACAACAAAACTCTAGAAAACCAACATTGAAAAATGCAATTAGACTAAAATATTTGCTAATTATGAATATGAACATGTTATGACTTAAATTGCCTAAAATATGCAACTAAAAAAATTCAAACAAAATTGAATTAAGTGTTAAACATAATTAGAAATGCTTCTAAATATTTTAGAACACAAAGAATTAAGCCTATAATCCAAAACAACATAAAAAACTAGAATAGAATTCTAAACTATACTAAACTAGTGCATGTAACATGTTTGTAAAAAAAATTTAGAAACTAAAACAACTACACTACAAGAAAAACATCAAATAGTGACCGAAAATTCGGTCACTAAATGTGTAAAATCGGTTACTAATTAAAATAGTGACCGAAATAGTGACCAACTGGAATATTATATCTATTATTTACATTTTTATTATATCTATTATTTATTTTCCCTATCTCTTAATTATATTATATATTTTTGGTTATTTAAGTTTTTATTTATATTCATTTCCCCTATCTCTTAATTATATCATATTTTTTAGAAGTTTAACTTATTATTAGGTGGTTTATTGTCACTGCTAGGATTCGAACCCAAGACCTTAGAGTTGGAGAGCTGAAACTCCAACCACTGAGCTACTTAGGATCTTTTAATAATAACTTACAAAAAAATTATATTTATATACAAATAAATGTATATCCGTACAAATATATAAATATAAAATCTATAAATAAAAATATATTTATATATTTTAATATATATTTAAATATTGATATATTTATATATTGATATATTTATATGTTTATATATTTTTACATATATTTATATTTTTATATATTTATATCTTCATTTTTATATATAAAGATATTAGTTTTCTATACAAATAATATTATAATATAGTATATTATACTGTTAGTATAGTATACAAATAATATATTAGTATAGTATAGTATACAAATTATTAATTTTGTAATTTATATACAATGAAAATAATATAATGGTATATTAGTATAGTATAGTATATTTGTATTCTAATTTTTAATTAAATTAAAATTATGCTAATAATGTATATTAATATATGAGGGGATAATATTGATATATTTGTATATATATATATATATATATATATATATATATATATATATATATTTATATATTTATATATTGATATATTTATAAATTGATATATTTATATATTAATATATTAATATATTTATATTTTTATATTTTTATATATTTATATTTTTATATATTTATATATTGATATATTTATATATTTATTTATATCCTTATACATTTATATCTTTATATATTGATATATTTGAAAAAAATATTAAATTTTAAAAATAATATTATATTTTTAAAAATAAATATTAGAAAAAGATTTAAAAATATATATAAATTATATTTACATTTACAAAATATTAAAGATATATGTTTATATGTTTACATATTTTTATATATATTTATATGTTTATATTTTTACATATCTTTACTAATAGCGGTTGCATCATCGCTCGAGCGAGATTATATTCGCTCAAGCGAAATACAACCCGAGAGTGCCACTTTTGTGCAGGGGAGTTTCGCTCGAGCGAGAATATTTTCGCTCAAGCGAAAAACGTTTTAGATAGCGGTTAGAAGTGGAACCGCTCTTAAAAGCTCACTTAGATAGCGGTTAAACGAAACCGCTATTATATGGTTTCAATTATGATCGGTCATAATTGAGTTATGACCGATCATAATGAAAACTGACATTTAGTATTTTTTTATATTATGTTTTTAAATTATCTATTAGAGAAAACCTTTCAGAATTCCAAATGTTAAATACTTTTAAATATTAAAATTAACTTTATAAAAAATTAGGAAAAAAAATTAATCCAAAAGAGTTTAAAAATGTATTATAATATTGTCAATTTTGAGTTTAATGATATTGTTCATTCTCAAAGTAGAAAAATATATTGTAATTATTTTAATTTAATAAAATATAATTTAAAATTTTAATACTAAAATTAAAAGATTAAATAATAATAAATTTAATTCTTGAAATTCAGTAGCTAGAAACTAAAATTATAGTTTCTCTGTTTGAAATAATGAAAAAAAAAATAGTGTTATGTTAAATTTATTAAAAGTGTAATTAAATCTCTATTTTCTTAATTTTATTTATTTCAAACTTCTCAATTCTACATTTTTGTAAGCTCTATCATTATATTATCATCCTCATCTTCTCCCATGTTCTACTTTATCTTTACAATAGTCAATATTGTTAACTAATTTATAGTTTTAATTATAATTTTTTAGTATATATTTCGAAATTAATCAATTCTAATCTATTATTTGAAAAACTAATCAACTCTAATCAATAATTTAGAAAACTAATCGATTATAATTAATTATTTGAAAAAATTATCAAATATGATCGATCATTTCCAAAATGTAATCGATCAGAATCCATAAAATCTGGTTGTATGTGATAGCGGGGGAGTTTCGCTCGAGTGAGACTATTTTCGCTCAAGCTGAAATCCGGTTTAGATAGCGGTCAGAAGGGGAACCGCTCTTAAAAGCTCCTTAGATAAGCGTTTATACTAGAAACCGCTATTATATGGTTTCAATTATGATCAGTCGATTGCAGTTATGACCGATCATAATGAAAACTCGACATTTAGTATTTTTTTATATTATGTTTTTAAATTATCTATTAGAGAAAACCTTTCAGAATTCCAAATGTTAAATACTTTTAAATATTAAAATTAACTTTATAAAAAATTAGGAAAAAAAATTAATCCAAAAGAGTTTAAAAATGTATTATAATATTGTCAATTTTGAGTTTAATGATATTGTTCATTCTCAAAGTAGAAAAATATATTGTAATTATTTTAATTTAATAAAATATAATTTAAAATTTTAATACTAAAATTAAAAGATTAAATAATAATAAATTTAATTCTTGAAATTCAAGTAGCTAGAAACTAAAATTATAGTTTCTCTGTTTGAAATAATGAAAAAAAAAAATAGTGTTATGTTAAATTTATTAAAAGTGTAATTAAATCTCTATTTTCTTAATTTTATTTATTTCAAACTTCTCAATTCTACATTTTTGTAAGCTCTATCATTATATTATCATCCTCATCTTCTCCCATGTTCTACTTTATCTTTACA